AAGCTCTCGCCACAAGACACCCACCTCAAATATAACCCAACGGCCCTCTTTAGGGCCGCAAATGTCGGAACAACGAATACATACGAGATACTGTGTTGAATAAATGTGTGACTCTACTCTGCTTCTACTACCCCCTCTTCAAAAAAACTCGTCCCTTTTCAACTCATTCACACAGCCCCACCAACCACTTCTATAGTATTTTTCATGAAATACATGCATACAACAATTTATAGCCGTACAGTACAGTACAATACTTTATTCCGATGCAGTCGTGTTGTTTCTGAAACCTTGACAGATTCTTAATCAAAAATCGACACAAAGCTACTTAGGACTGGGTTGCGGTGAGCTGCGTTCATCGAACGCTCGCCTGCGTTCGATCGTGTCGGGCGTTTTGGGTCCAAAAGGAAAGTTAACCTAGCGTTTTAAATCTTCTCAGCGGAATAGTAGCGTTTTAGGTGAAAAGTATAAGGTGTTGATGGGCGCTGAAAACGCCAGGTCAGTATCTATGATGCTTTGGTCCAGACAGACATGACGAGTTGATCTCAATCTAACCTAACGGCCCTCTTTAGGGCCACAAATGTCGAAAAACGAATACATACGAGAAATATTGTGTTGAATAAATGTGTGCTATAAACTGTTGTATGTGTGTATTTCATGAAAAATACTGCAGAATGGTTGGTGGGGCTGTGTAAATGAGTTGAAAAGGGTGGTTTTTTTAAGGAGGAGGGGGGACAGTAGAGGCAGAGTAGAGTGGGGGTAGGGCGATGCTGATCGTGCATCGATTTTTGGGGGCCCCGCGTGGAGACCCAAGTGGAGTGTATATAAGGGAGGCGCTTGGGTTAGCGGCATCTCATTTGTGAGTGCAACCGCTGTCAAAGCAACAATGTCCGGACGTGGAAAAGGAGGCAAGGGACTCGGCAAAGGGGGTGCCAGGCGCCATCGCAAAGTTCTTCGCGACAATATCCAAGGCATCACCAAGCCAGCCATCCGTTGTCTTACTCGCCGAGGTGGTGTGAAGCTCAGGTCTGATCTACGAGGAAACTTGTGCAGTTCTGAACGTATCCCTTGAGAACGCGATCCGTGATGCCGTCTCATACTGTGAGAGTGTTAACAACATACTGCCAGTGTTGGCAACATATTGCCAGCTGACTTATCCTTTCAAGCAAAGTTGGCGATATATTGCCAGTGTTAACAACATATTGCCAGTGTTGGCAACATATTGCCAGTTGACTTACCTCCTTTCAAGCGAAGTTGGCGATGTATTGCCAACACTGGCAATATGTTGTTAACACTGGTAAAATGGCGCCAGTGGCAGAAACCAATATCATATTCGCTTGAAAGGGGGTAAGTCATCAGAGCGATCGAACGTCCCGAGAAGTTCCACATGTACAAA